CCTCCAGGGCTCAGCCTGAAGAGACATTCAAGCAGCGTTCTGGAAAATGAGGACACGGCGTCGGGGCTCTCCACCCCCACCAGCAGAAACGATGAACCTACCAGCGTTGAGAAAGGTGGCTGTGAGACAGGCAGGGGAGGTCCTGCCTGCAAGACCAATTCATCTCCTGCTTCCCAGGTAAACGCTGGGGAAGGCAAGAAGGATGGCTGGACCTCCTCTTCTTCAAACAGGCAGGGATTTGGGGGAGGGAAGGAATTCGGCTGGCTTCCCTTCACTAGGCAAAGGAAGGCAAAACAGGGATGTCTTCCTGGAAGGACCAGAAAATAGCCACAGCTCGAGTTAGACTGTGGGGCAGGATGTGGAAGTCCTCGTTACAGTAATAAAAAGGTCTCAAGTACTTGGCTGGGGCGCCAGGAATACACCAACACGCCAGACTGGCTCAGAAGCAGCTTTTCACATCAGCGGTGGGAACATTTTTGTTTATTTGTTCCTCAGTGTTAGCCAAGAAGGAAGGAGGTGGTGGTCCATTCCCCCTCACCACAGATGTCCTCAGCTCCCTGCAAAAGCAGAAGGCTTAAAATTGGTGACATCTACATCTGCTGCCTCCTACCAACCTGGGACATTTGGTCACATGTACAGATTTTAATTTTGCTTTAGAGGAGGGACAGCAAAGCACGACCTGACTCACGCAGGAGAGGCAGAGGTTATGCTCTTTTCTACTCTTCTGAAGTCAGAAAATTCTTGTTGTCCATCCTGGGTCCAAATTAGTACTAATTACTCCATGCAAAATGGAGTTGCTTCAACAGGAAGGAATTAGGACAACAAATTATTCTGGAATAAAGAGGAGTCACTGCCTAAGCAAGCAATCTGTTTGCACACGGAACAAAAGGGGCGTTCTCCCACACATTTGGGGAAAAAAACCAGTACCTACTCCATTTTTAAAAAACAATTTCTAACCTCCATGCCTGTTACAGTATCCACTAGGATTTCCCACATGACCAATATGCCAAAACCCAACCCACACTCACTGTTTTGACTTCCACCATCAAAACTGCAGCCACCCTCAACGCTGTAGTACCATGTGTGTAACCACAGCAAAAACTGGGTTTGACAGCCACGGCCAATGCTTTTGGCTAGGCAAGTTTTGACTCAGAGAGGGAGGGAGGAGGACGCAGGCACGCATCCTCCTGCAGTCTCAATAAAGCAAGGTTTCCCACAATGGAGACACAACCCTCAAATTTAGTTGAAACCCTGGTCGTCCCACCAGAGTCACACCGAGACTTCCACGTCCACTTCCCAACCTCAGACCAGCTCAACCTCGACCCGCAGGACATATGTGGCCCCACTGACTGCAGATGTACAGCGTGTGGATGGATTTAGTCCTGCAGGAATATTTGTGTCCCCCACCATCGCCTCCTCCCCACACACACACAGCAGCACCCCCTGCCTTGCTGTACCACAAAACACCTCACACTGCAAAAAAACCACAAAAAACAAACCCAACCTACACGGATCAACATGGGGCAGATGTGGAAAGCAACACCGTCGTCATGAGGGTTTCCAGAGCCACACTGGAGACAGAGATGAAATTCAGACTCTCCTGAAGATGGAGATAGCCAGAGAAGAGGATGAATGAGCCAGCTCTGGATTTGTGGCTGGGAGGATGAATATGACAGGGACGGCGTCCGCCAACCCCAAGATGCATTTCCCCCGAGCCTTGGCTACACACAGAAGTTTCAAGCACTGAGGCTTACAGTAGAGCCACGTGAGTTGTATCAGAGAAAAAGAGTTTCCAGCGGTTTTTGTGAGTTTAATGAATAGACAGCAACTCGTGATGGAAGCCACTCTACCCACTTACAAAAGCTGGTGACATCAGGAAGAGGATCAGGCTAGCCTCTGGCGATAGCCAGGACCAGCTGCTCCCAAGGAAGATGTAAGAAATCATTCTGGACAGTTCGGGAATCGCTTGCTTATTGGTAAATCTCTTGCTAAGCCCTTCAGATAGTGATTAAGCACACTGGTTCATACCCCATATATTAAATATTAATCCCTCCTAATGTGACTGCCGATGTTCCGGTTATCCGATTCGGATAACCACACACCCCCACCAGCCCATTCCTTTTCCACCCCAAACCACGTAAACATAGAAAAAAAAACCAGCAGCATTTTGTGATCCAGCTAGAGGAGAGCTGACGATGTTCTACTCAGCCTCCGAGCCTGGAAGCAAACCAGATGGATCTCACCAAAAGCAGGAGGGAAAGAGTTAAGAGGAGGGAGATGAATCAGCCCACTGCTATAAACGCGGACATTTCCTACCTCTTCTCTCTAGTGTTTCTTCCTGTCCGCAAGCTTCAGAGATGCTTACGGACCTGGTCACATTCAAATGATTTCCACCGCGACAGGAAAGCCCGGGGATTTGTTTTATTTCAAGAGGAAAACGCGATTTGTGAATGAGACCAGAAAGCAGCCGCGAGGGCTGACCTCCTTCTCGTATAACACTCAGAATAAAGTACCAGCCAGCAGCTTGTGCCTCTGCTGCCCTACTCCTGACCCTCTGGAAGTCTACGGGCGCTCTGTTCTACCCAAAATAACCCACCCCACGCTGCCCAGCGTTTCGAGGTGTCGCGCAGACCACGACCACGCAACCCGTGGCTCGGCGCTGCCTTACCCAAAGTGGTGAGGGCAAACCCAGCGCGGGGTGAGGATGGCAGAGGGTCACCCAACCTGTGCCCTACCCGACGGCTCGGGATCCACCACCCTGCTGCAAACACCAAGGGTTGGGGAGAAGATGATGTAGGTCGTCAGCGGGAGGAGACAGGGAGAGAAGGAATTCAAACTACTCTTTCACAAGGATGTTGATGTTGGACTTGGCCCAATATCACGGATTCACACAAAGCGTCAGTTATTTGAGAGTGACATTTCAGAAAAAGCAGAGCTATGTATCCTATTAGCTTGAAAACAATACAGCCGCACCAACGCCAGGACAGCAGTGCCCCTGGAAACGGGAAACATCTATTTTCAGCACCTCCCAGTATCCCCCCACTGCTTTAACAAACTGTTTTTATAAAGATCAGGCAAAAGCCCTGAAGCTTCCCACAGACACCCCTCCAAAAAGCTCTCCCATAAGGATGGAGAGGAACACGTGGAGGGGGAACGTGGCAGCGCCCATTTTCTGCCCAGAACAGACACCAAGCCTCTTTCTCGCAGCACCCCCAGGTCCCAGCCATGTGGTCCATGGCCCCCCCAAAACATCCCAGCTCTTCATCTTGGCCACATCAGGGGAGCTGGCAGTGCCCTGACCATCCCTGGGGTCCCGTTCCTCATCCCAGAGCCCCACATCGAGAAGGTTTCCCAGCCTCACCGTTGGAATAACATTATTCCAAACATAATGAGTTTGCATTTGATTCTCATCGGAGAAAGACATAAATCGTCCCTGCAAACCCAGCAGCTCCCTGCATCGGCTGCAGCCACCCCGAGCACCTCCCTCCCTCCCACCGGCTGCTGCAGCAACAGGAATGAAGATAAAGAAAGATGAAAAATTCGCCTGCACCCCTTCCTTTTCTAGAAGTCCTTGGACAGGAGAGGAAAAATCCCTAAAACATTTCAAAGCATCTTGCATGCTTGCAGCAAGCTCTCCCCAGCCACCGACAGGCAGGGAAGGGATGACGAAGTTTTTTAGCGTAATACGTTGCGGAGAGCGTCCTGCAAACGAGCAAAGTAAATTCCTGAGGCTCTCGGCAAGGACCCCAGCGCTCCTTGCGAAACTTCCCAGCTGGAACCTCACAGTCGAAAAGCCAGAAAACATCGTTTTTCCCCCCTCCAACAAACAGGGGCTGGGATTCCTTTCACGACAGTATTTGGATTTTAATGTCAGTCCATATTTAGCAAAAGGAAAAAAAGCCTCCCTTCCTTCCTGTCACATTTTCCACCCTTGATGACATCCAAGATCAGAAATAAGCATTGGCCAAGGAGGGAGGATGCATCTACCCGAGCGTGGGAGAGCCCGGAGCGTGGCAGCCCTCTGGGGATGCGTGGAGACACCGGTGACGAGGGGCACAACCTTGGGGTCCCCTCCGAGGCTCCGCTTAGGAGCATCTCCCCGAGGGACACGGTGCAGGGCAGGAGGCAGGTTACGAGCCGACGAGGCTGGTATACCCCTCACAAAAAAAACCCTCGTGTCCCCGCTGAGGAGGCCGTGGGTGAGACCGAGCACGGTTGTTTGCCCACGGAGGGGCCGGTGTCCTGCGTATCGGTGTCCCCAGCGATCCTGCGGCAGGGAGAGGCGAGCGTGGGGTCCACGCAGGATGTGTCCCGTCTGCTGGGTGTCAGAGGGTGCCCGGGTGGGAGCCCGGAGCCCCCGGGTGCGAGGAGAGAGGGAGGAGGCCGCTGCAGACCCACGTGTAGACGTCCGCGTGTGCGATCCACGATTCGCTTTTTATTATTATTATGAAAACATAATAAAACTC